AAAAAATGCATTCAATTGCCTCTAAAATCGGTTAATGCTTTCATTAACATTTCAGGTGACAGAGCAACGAAGTATACAGCAATCTATCCTTCTACTACGAAAAAAGAGTCTGTGTACTCAATCATCTCCTCTTACTTTAATACGAAAAGTATAATCTGACGTAAATTTTGTACTATTCACAGGTTTTCATGAACTGCACAACTCGCGGAGGATCGATTTTTCTAGTTATTTCCAACGATCAAACATGGAACTCTTTGGGCTTTACTGGTGACATGTTTTGGATTAGGTATAATTGATTTGGTCCATGTTAAGGCCCATGAATTGGACAAAACTAGTGGCAAAGAAGTTATGGACCTGGAGGACTAGGAACTTGCGGGCCCATGGGTCAGGAGACAACATAAATCGGTGTCGGACCGTATTTGGGCCACTTTCTGAAGCCCAATACTCTGCGTGGTTGGTCCATTAGACCAAAATCTGAAACACAGGCTTATGTGCCTTAATAAACCCCCAAACGCAAAAGGATTTCTAGTGGCCTACCATCAAACCAACATTTTAAGAGTGGTCACAATAAAGTTTTTCTTTTTCCTCCTTTTTTTTTTTTAAGTAGTTTGGACGATAATAGTATTTTTTAGTCAGCATTTGCATATCTCATAAAATTAATTCTTAATTTTAGATAGGATGTTTACCTATTTGGTAAATTATAATGATCTAAGTCTTTATTTAGTTTTGTTACTGTTTTTTGTTTTTAATTATGGTTGCTAAAAATTTAGTAATATTAAATTAAAATAAACAAGTTTAATAAAATATAAGTTAAGAGTAATTAAATTTCATGTACTGATTCACTTGTATTGAGGTAAGATCTGTTGAGCTAAGGGAAGATTAAATCCCTATTCATGGCATAAGCTGAGAAACCTGCACGGCGTCATGATAAAGAAGTGCAAAAGAGATGGAAGGGACCAAGCAGGGAAGGAATGGGGAGGCGTCCCTCCCAGGTAACCACAGGCCCACACCTCCCTGGAATTTTTTTTCAAGGAAATGTATGAATAATTAATACTTTTAGTACACATCAAATTGAATTAAACTAAAATGTATAGAATAAGCCAAATTTGACTAAGAGCTTTTTGTGAGCCAATAAGATATATTTTCTGTTCCTATATGCTTCAAAATTAATAAGCAAACATCGTTCACGAGATGAACATATCTAGGGCAAGTCAATCGTTGACAAGTTCAAAAGCTTATAAATTATGATAAACAATAAAAATAGCGTTGTCAAATGACTCAAGCAATGATGACAGGGTTTAAATATACTTTAGGGTTGGCACATATTAAATTTTTTTTTGAATATATTAGATTAATGTGAAAGGTGTACATTAAAATCATTCTGAGATGAACATATCTATGTGAGGTCAATTGTTGGCAAGTCTAGAAAGTTATAAATTATGATAAACAATAAAAATAGGTTAAATACCTTTTTTGGTCCCTCTACTATAGGAAAAAGCCCCTTTTTAGTCCCTATACTGAAAAAATCCCTTTTTTGATCCTTATTGTTCACAAATCCGGCCCCTTTTTGGTCCTTCCGTTAAATTTTAGCTTACGTGGCATGTTAACTAACGGAAAATTTTTTTTTCTTTCTATACTTAAATTACGTGTGAAATCCATTTGGCAAGACTTGATGACATGGTTAAATTTTTTATCTTTAATTACCAATTTACCCTCATTTTCTTCTCCCATCCTCTCCTTCCTTTAGCCTTTTTTTTCTTTTTTTTTTTTCTTTTTTTTCTTACCTTTAGGCGAACCCAAGAGTCT